TGAGAAAGTAATGCCTCATTACTGATGACATTTTGGCATACGTCCTTCCAGATAATTAGGTATTTCCCAAAACTTAGGTCTGTCGCTCACAGAATGGACACTGGAACTTTTTGCTCATAGGAGTGTTTCTTCTGATTGATTTTTCAAGAAGAATCAAGGTGGTGAGGGGCCGTCTGCACCAGCACAGTGCCTGGCTCTCAGTAGGCACTCAGTGCTCATTGGAGCTGTGCTGTTAGAACATTGGGGACAGTTATTCATGCATTACCATCCTCTGCGTTAAAAACATCATAAAATGATTTGAGAATAAAAATAAAGACGGTAGATGTGCATTCTGGCCTCTGGGAAACTGAGCTATTCTAGGGGTTTTGATACAGAAGTTAAATGTGCAAAGAGTTGAGTGAGAAAACCTTGGGAAAGCTGCGTTGTAAAGATCAGGGAACACTAATGACTGCATCTTTGAAACAGATGGTTCTCAAAAGTTTGCCAAAAAAAAAAAGTTTACCAGTAAGCTGCACAGCTGTTGTCTCTGTTAAGATTCCTTCACCATCAATCTGTAGTAGTAAGTAGACTCACCTTTATTTAAGAAGATGGTGTCTGGAGGCTGTAACTCTTTAGAAGTAATGGCTTTTCTTTAAATCTAAAGTTCCTTTCATTGGAAAAAATTAAATTTTCTGCTGTGCAAAGGAGAGCTTAGAAATGGGTAGCAGTACACATGGTATTGAAAACTGACAACCCAGCACACAGGGATTCTTACCAGTAGTCTGTGAGTCCTGCTTGGGGCCTTGTGGCACATTGAAAACCTTCTCTGTGCCTGTGAGAGCTGCATTCAGCAGATCATCAAAGGTTTAATTATCTTTAAATTACTTTTGACTTAAATGAAAATAGAATGGCTGATTAATAGTCCCAATAAAAATATCTGAAGTTGGACTGGTGGTATTTCAAAAAGTATCTATCAGAATCACTTTTAAGAGCATATGTAAGCATTGAAAGTGAAGTAGATATAAAAAGGATTTCACAGAAATTTAGTCTCTCCCCTTTTGCCTTTTAAGAAAGCTGCTTTAAATGCTTTATTCTGTGCATTTCTTTTAATGAATGGAGTAAGTATAATTTCGAGTTCAGGTCAGCTTGTCTCAGTTGAAGTAGGTTGTTACTTAGAGCTCTGACTTTGACTTTATAAAAGCCTTTTTGTTCATAATGCACAATTACTCAGGTTGTAGTGGCCTTCAGAGATGCCAGTGCTACTGTGTGCTGCTGTTCAGGTGAAGTGAGGGGCTTTTTATAGACAGTTCCTAGTGCAGGAAAACGTGGTGTGGGCATAGGGTGCGTGCCCGTGGCTGAAGTTAGTTAAGGAAACTGCTTGTGAAGTCATCATTTCTAGATAAGTTGAAAATTAAAGGAGCAAGATGCAGTTTTAAATTTTGATATATTAATAGTCCTTTTCAGTAATTATTTTTGTGTCATTGCGGACTACTGGATTTCTGTCCCTTTTTGATAAAGATCCCAACAGTGCCAACTGAAAATGACCAGAGTACTCATACTGTGTATGAGAAAATATTGGTAGTATTTTGCTTTATAAAAGTTTAAGTCATAGTTCACTTTACAGAATTCCGGAGATCCTTTTAAATGTTTGTTTTTATTCATGTAGAATTTAAATATGTATGTTACATTTAAAAGACTGATTGTTTCGCTTCTTTTCCAGTGAGATTTGTTTCATGTTGTCTCTAGTGAAAACATTTTTTGTTACATTTTTTTTTTTGTTACATACTTAAATTTCTTAAGTATTTTGTTAAGAAAATACTCAGACCACACCCCTTTCACACCCCTCACTTCATATCTGACTGAAAAATACTGGTAGATTTCTGTTAGTGTTTTGTTAAAGTATTTTAAAATGAAGATTTTAAAGATTTTTCTTCCTAAACTGTTTTGGTAGAAAGATTACCAGCAATTGCTAATTTAAATGATTCATGTTCACCAAATAGATCAAAGAACAAAAGTGGACATAATAGGCTTGTCTTTTGGGTTTTTTCGTACTTAAAAAAGTCGTAATTATTTTCTTAGGAAAAACATTGGAACATAAAATTCTAACTTGATTCTTAAAAACTGTTTGGATAATGGTTATTACTGTGTTTACCAGCACTATAAATGCTGATTTTTGCTAGGCTAAAATTGCGGCTGAGAGCATTATTTGAATAAGGAGAACATAAGGTGATGTAAGTGCTCTGTGAGTGTATGTTAGGGCTAACATAGTGCTCTGTGAGTATATATTAGGTAGATTCTAGGGGGACCAGCCTTGATTAGAGAGTAAAAGATGCTTTTAGGATGCTTTTAACATTTCATTGTAATAAGCGGCCTTAGTTTAGCACTCAGAAGCTCTTTATAGTCTGTCTTACACCTTTTTTTTTCCATCTGTATTTTTCACTGCTTTAACGAAAGTCCTGGACTTGAGGCAAACCTGGTCTTCTCTTCACTGCCTGATAACACTGTCCTTTCACACCTTGGGGCTCCAGTTTTAGGCAGTTCCCTTTGCGTCTGGAGACCCTTTCCATCACTGCAAATGCTCCTGCCTCTCACAGCCCTCAAGGTGCCTGGAAACCCTCCTGTCCACAGCCAGTGTGATCTCTCCTGAGTGTTTAGAACATTTAGTTGCCTTTCTTCAAGTGCTTCACATACTACTGAGTGGTCAGGGATGTTCCTTTAATATGTAAAAAATCCCTCATATTCCTGAAGACTATACCTTGCTCACGGTAGATGTTTGATGATTATTGAACCAATGATTGTAAAAATGTTATCATTACTTGTGTTATCAAAGGTCCATTTACCCAATGTACAGTAAGCCGAACACTAAGACACTGATATTTGCAAAAGAGAAAGAGTTTATTCATGAGGCAGCTGAATGAAGAGACAGGAGAACAAGAAAAAATCTTACATCTGCCTTTCCAGAGGCAACAGACTCGGGATATTTATGGGATAAAGAAGCAAGGTGGTCTGATGGGTGGGGGAAGGATGATACAGTGAAGTCACTGGTGTCCTGCACAGGCATATCCGAGTTTCTTCATGAGATGCATGTTCAGAAAATGGTATTAGCATGATCTGAGGGTGACATTTTTTGGCCCTCTGAGGTCAAACACTCATGGAGGCCCAGTTGAATGGTCAGTGGTCTTGTCCAGTTTTAACTGGGCATGGCTAGCTCTATGTTCCAGAAAAAGTTACCATTACTGTTGTGTGTTAGTCACTCAGTCTTGTCTGACTGTTCGCAACCCCATGGACCGTAGCCCCCCACCAGGCTCCTCTGTCCATGGGGATTCTCCAGGCAGGAATACTGGATTGGGTTCCTATGCCCTCCTTCAGGGGATCTTCCCAGCCCAGGGGTTGAACCCCAGTCTCCTGCATTTACCATCTGCAAAAGTAATCGTGGTTTTGAATTGTTGAACTTTGCCATTTGATATTAGAATACCTCCTTAAATAAACATGGATACATCATTTTAATGCACATTTCTTGCTTAATTTTTATTTTTGCTAATGACTTATTACTTGCTGTTTATATTTATTTTAGACTAGGGAAAAGATGTTAGATTAAAAAGAAAAATTTGAGCAGTTATCTTATTTGAGTTCAAAATGGGTCATAAAGCTGCTGTGCCCAGCTGCACGTTGACAACCAGCGCTTCAGAAGTTAAACGAAGTGGGCTGTGAAGTTCTGCCTCATCTGCCGTGTTCACCTGACCGCTCACCAGTGGACTGCCGCTTCTTCAAGGATCGCGACAGCTTTTTGCAGGAAAAACGCTTCCACAACTAGCAGGAGGCAGAACATGCTTTCAAGAGTTCGTTGGATCCCGAATCACTGATTTTTACGCTACAGGAAGAAACAAACTTATTTCTCGTTGGCAAAAATGTGTTGATTGTAATGGTTCCTATTTTGACTGGTAAAAGATGTGTTTGAACCTAGTTATAGTGATTTAAAATTCATGGTCCAAAACTGCAGTTACTTTTTCACCAGTGGGTCACTAATATAATGACCTGTACATCAGAGGTGTTTTAGGTAGTGGGTGCTTAAAGGTGTCTTCAGGCTGCATGTAACTTGGAGGGTATGCAATTTGCAAGAACAGTTAGAGTGACTTTAGTCAATAAAGGCTAGTTACAGGATGTTATTATTAAGCAAGTTATAATTTAAGGGATCTAACTGATGACTTCCCTTAGTTTTACTTGTTTCGATATTTTTATATACTGAAATGAGTTTTTCTACTCTGAAACAGGTTAATGTACACACATATGTAGTAACTCCTTTAGAAAAGTTTCTCAGTGGTGGGCACTGTTAACATTTGGGGCTGTATAATTCTTCGTTGTGGGTGTTACCCTGTATGTTGTAGGATATTTATATTTAGTAGTACCCCTTGCCTTTCCTCAGGAGCTTCCCAGGTTGCTCAGTGGTTTAAAAAAAAAAAAAAAGTCCACCTTCAGATGCTGGAGATGCAGCAGACACCGGTTCGACCCCTGGGTGGGGAGGATGCCCTGGAGGATGAACTGGCAACCCACTGCAGTATTCTTGCTGGGAAAATCCCACAGATGGAGGAGCCCGGTGGGCTGCAGTCCGTGGGGTCTCAGAGTCGGACAGGACTGAGCACCTGAGCAGATGCACACACAGCCTCTCCTCACCTGTGCCTCGGTTGTGGTGACCCAACAGTGTCTCCAGACATTGCCAAATACCCACTTGGGGACAAAACCACCCTGGTTGAGGACACTGCTTTAAAAGAAGAAAAGCATGTGGGTTTCAAGACTCTCACTTGTAGTTTATAGTGTGTATGTATATTGTTTTTGAAGGTGGCTTTTAAGTAGAGACAAAGTAATTGTTTCAGAGTTCTCCAAATTTAGCTTTGTAATTTAGCTTTGGAAACAAGGACACTATTAATTCTTATAAAACATTGATAACGAAAGGAAATTGCTTTTTTTTAATGTTCTGTGTCTTTTACATTTTAATAATTGATTTTGTTTGGTGTTTCCTCCAGATTGAAATTAAAATGAAAAAGCCAGAGGCTGTCAGATGGGAAAAGCTAGAGGGGCAAGGAGATGTGCCTAACCCCAAACCATTCGTAGCAGGTTTGTTTTCTGGCCTTGATGAGCTTTAGATTCATATTGTGTTATATAGTTGAAATTAAATAGTGATGAGTATTCTTTCTCCTTTCATTATTTATGTTAAGATAAAATACATGGAGTATAATAAGGTTGCTCTGTAATGAATACAAAATATTTCTTAATGATAGTTCTAACTTCTTAAACTCTATAAGAATACAAATGAATGGCATCAAAGCCCAGAGGGAAATTGGAATTTATTGTTTACTATGTCAGTTTGTGACATTGGCTGGGGGTTGTTTTTGTGCATTGGCCTTTCCTATTTTTTATGTGTAACAGTTTTACTCTGCTGATGTATTTCCCACTCTTCCTTTCTTCCCTCTTACTTATGCCTTTGTTTCTTCCATATAGTCAACTCTAATTTCTTGGAATTTCAGAGCTCCCCAGAGAAAAGTACCTAGCACATTTCACTATGTTTCTAAGAGGTGGAGGCCTAAGGCAAGCCTGCAAGTAGAGTGGAAAACAAGGGTTGATTGCTTAATCCTTTAAGGAAAAGGCTACTTTATGTGGGGTCAGTTCTAAGCACAGGCAGTAGACAGGTGTTTTTCTAACGCAATGATTAATCTGTGGGACACGCTTAGACCTACAGTCTAAGACTATTTTATAGCAATGACCTCATTAATGAATGGAGAGAGATTACCTTTTGGTTAGAGATAATGCTCTGATTTGATGACTTAAATGAGGTAACTTTGTTTCAACTATTTTTTTATTTTTCACTGCTTTCTTCTGTAATATAAAATACCCTTTCATTGTGGCACCTTGTAGAAAACGCCAAGTTCACCAGTAGAGCATTCATCTTTAAATTTTGTTTTGAAATAATTTTAGGTTCTAATAGAAGTTACAAAAATAAGAGTTCCCATGTACCCTTCACCCAGTTTCTCTCATGATACTATCATAGCTAACCTACAGCATAATTAGCAGAGCCAGGAGATTTACACTTGCAGATAATTTTTAGGAATTGAAATACTTCAGGTTGGTATATAAGCTGTTTGTTAAGCTGCTGTGCTCTCCTGTATGTGAAAGATTTGGTAAAGATGTTACGTACTTCTCTTGGGGCTGACTCCCAGAGAATTTTGGATTGAGATTTATGTATAGCTTAAAGCATTTTTTTAAAGAAATATTTTAAATGTAGTATCTCACCTAGTTCTAGCAGCAGCCCTGTATAGTAAGTGACCTAGTATTGTCCCTCCTATCATGGGCTCAGAAAGGTTAAACAGCTTGCCTGAGATTACCCAGCGTTTTTTGTTGTGTAGGACTAAATCCAGATCTTCAAAGTCTGGGCCTGGTTCTTCTACCCTATGTGTGATACTGCTTGTTGCTGCATTTTCTAACAGTGGGACGTCTCTGCTGACATGAGTAGCTTTGCAATTTGACGTTAGAGTGAATAAGCAAGAAGTTAGGTTACCTGTCTCTCAGTAGTTCATCTATCATCCACAGGTATTAATGTTTTTCTGAGATTAAAGATTTTTTTGGTGTTATAGTTACAAACTCTTTTTAAACTCAATGCCTTGGATATTCAAGATGGTATTCCTCCTGATTGGTTTTATTTTTTCTAAGGGGTTAATGTGCTTGTCAGATTGTTTGACAAGCTGGAGACTGCAGATAAGGGCAAGTTGTTAACCTATCTGTGCCAGCTTTCTTATCTGTAAAATGGAGATGAGAACTGTGGTCCCATCTGGCAAATCGGCATTAGGATTAATTAAACCCGTGTGTCCTAGGTTCTTAATTTAGCATTGGCATGCATTTTTTGTTTTCTTGGCTCCTAGTGAAAATGTACAAAAGATAGAGATTATTGGTAGAGGACAGGTGGATAGAATTTGGAAAACAGTTTGCTTGCCCTGTATAAAACTGATGTGTTGTCATTTTGTTTTGTTAGGGATTGGGTGGTGAGATGGGCAGGGAGAGAGGTGAAGAGAAAGGATGGAAAACAGACTGAACAATTAGTTTCTCAACTATTTTGAGAAAGGGGATATATAGAGAGGCAATAGTGGGAGAGGTACAGAGAGAGTAGCATTAATGTGTCCTAATTCATAGGGAAATTTTGAACCAGTTTTTTTTTTTTTTTTTTTTAAAGCTATTTAGCTGTACCATCCAGTGTATAGCTGCAAACCACCTATACCTATTGACCACTTGGAATATGGCTCATCTGGATTGTGGTGTGCTCTGAATGTAAAATACATACCAGATTTTAGACGTAGTGTGAAAAAATATATATAAAATATATTAATATTTTTATATTGATTTCATGTTGAACTGATACTATTTTGGATGTGTTAGGCTAAATGAGACATTTTTAGAATGTATTTCACCTGATTGTTTTTAGACTATTAGAAATTTTAGAATTATATTTATGACTTATATTTGTGGCTTATGTTATATTTCCATTGAATAAAGAACAGAACTGCTCTTACAGTTCTTAGGTAATTTGGTTAGTTTCCTTTAAACTATTTGTGTGTCAAGATCTTGATTCCCTTGGTCTCTGGGGCAGCTTTGGCAGTGCCCTGAATCTCCCTGGGCTGGTTACCTCTCTGGCTGCAAGCAGCTTCTGTTTAATCCCAATGTGCCCTCCAAGTAATAATATTTCCTGTGTGCACGTGATGTGGGCATTGACCTCTGGATCATCATGTATTATTTTTCAACATTCAAGAATTCTTTATTGTTTTCTCCTTTTGAAGTAATCTGATATTTTTAATGTGGTGAGAGGACGGAGTCTTAACTCACTGTCAGATGGCATGGCACTGTCAAATGGCATGTCATTGTTTTCAGTTTAATTTCACTCTGAAAGATATACGTACCTCAGGAGAAACTACACACACACACACACACACACACACACACACCATCTTAAGTGGGGCTGCTCTCCAGTTGTGGTACGCAAGCTTCGTCTCTTGGGGAGCACTGGCTCTAGAGTGGGCAGGCTTCAGTAGCTGAGGCGCATGGGCTCAGTAGTTGCAGCTCCCGGGCTCTAGATCGCTGGCTCAATAATTGTGGCACACAGATTTAGTTGCTCCATGGCATGTGGTATCTTCCTGGACCAGGGATTGAAGCATGGTGTCTCCTGCATTGACAGGTGTATTCTTTACCACTGAGCCACCAGGGAAGCCCTAGAAGCTGTATTTTTTAACATCTGTTAAAGCTTTTTTTAGAGAAAGTTTGTTAATGAAGCATCTGTTTTAAAAAGTCAGTATTTTTAGAATTGTTGGTACGATCTTTGCACCTTTTCTGTAAACATCAGAGTTCCTGTATATGGGCTTCCCTAGTGTCCAGTGAGTGATGAAAAATCCGCCTGCCAGTGCAGAGTGCACGAGTTTGATCGCTTATCTGGGAAGCTTCCACATGCTGTGGGGCAGCTAAGCCCGTGTGCTCAATTATGAAGCCAGCGCTCTAGAGCCCATGGATAGCAATCCCTGAACCTTTGTGTCACAACTACTGAAGCCACATGCCCGGAGCCCGCGCTCAGAAACAAAAGAAGACACTGCATGAGAAGCCTGCACACGGCAAGAGCAGCCCCAGGCGCTGCAGTTAGAGAGAGCCTGCAGCAGTGAAGACCCAGCACAGTCAGAAATAAATAAAATAAGTGGCTCTTAAAAGGTTCTGTATGTTGCTCACCCAGTTTCTTCTATTATTAACATGTAGGGTTTCTTTGTTAATCTAGTTTTGCATAATGTACCAGAAGTTTACACTGTGAGTTATTTTGCTCAAAAGAAATTTCCAGATTTTGTTATGCTTACCGATTCAGTTTTTAGAGGTTTAAATGTTAATTGATTTATATATCAGAAAGACATTATTACAGACATGAAATTCAATGACTTAAACTGTTTGCTGAGATGTATACACCATGGTCACAAAGTTACCTGTGCTTGAGATAATCGACACACGTTGATTAATCACTTCTTTTTTTTACTTCATAGATGCAAAAAACCTATATCCATCATCATCTCATTATACAAGAAATTGGGATAAATTGGTCGGTGAGATCAAAGAAGAAGAAAAAAATGAGAAGTTGGAGGGAGATGCAGCTTTAAACAAATTATTTCAGCAGATCTATTCAGATGGCTCTGATGAAGTGAAACGTGCCATGAACAAATCATTTGTAAGAACATAAACTTTAAGAAAATCTATTACAGTAGTAAATTTCAGAAATTAAAAATATAAGTAAAGAGATCAGATTGTATGTACTGTAGTTGGGAGACCATTTTAAATGGGCTTTGTCTGACCTTTTTTTTTTGTTCAAACTTTATTTTTTGGGAAGTTTGGGACTTTTTGGGGGGGTTAGAAACAAATGGTGTAGTCCACATACATTTTTTCATCAGGGAGTTAGAACTTGAAAGACTTGAGATACTAAGGTTAGAGTGGGTGATACGAGTTAATTCTAGTCAGATTTATCACAATAGCTGAGTGAGCTTCCAGTGTTTTCCATCTAGTAGCATATGTAATCTCAGTGTCAAGGATGAGGAATATAGAAGGGAGACTTCCAGAACAGTGCTGGGCAAGTAGTAGGTGCACATTGATTATCCACTGGTTTGTTAATAATTTCTCTGTTAGTTAAGAAAACTCAGGCTTTTTGCCAGGGCGTGAATACCACCTGAATTAGGCCTCAGTTCTGAGATTTTAGTGACAAGTCATCACTGTGGAACCATGTAGATTTTGCTTGAACCTGTAATCATTTGGCTTTTACCTGTAGCTCTGGAAATGTCACGGTCTTCTTTTAAGGCATTTATTTTTACAATAGAAAAAGTTAATATTTAATAATTAAAATTAATACATGGGTAATAAGTGTGTTTGAGGCTCAGATATTCCATATCAAGTTACCATGTGGTAACTGATCATGACTGTGCTTTCACTATTGCTTTAAAATTTTTTTATAGTAAACTTTTTACATTGAGATAATTGTAGCTTCACAATACAGTTGGAGAAAGTAATACAAGAGATGCCTTACATCTTTTACAGATTTCCCCAGTGGAAACATCTTGCAGAATTAATATTACAGCCATGATGTTGACAGTTAAGATAGAGAACATTTCTGTTGCCACAGGATTCCCTCATTGTTGTCATCTTATACCCATGTTCACACCCTTCTTTCCTACCCATCCTTAGCCCATGGGAGCCACTAATCTGGCCAGTTTGTCAGATACGGAGTTTGCAAATATTTTGTCCCAGTCTGTAGCTTGTCTTTTTCTTTTCTTAACAGTCTTTAGCGGAACTGAAGTATAGTTTTGATGAACTCCAGTGTATAAGTTTTTGTTTTATGGATCATGGTTTTGGTGTCAAGTTCTAAGAACTCTTTGCTTAGTTCTGGAGCTCAAAGATTTTCTTTTGTGTTCCTTTTTTTAAAAAAATATATTTACTTATTTGGCTGTGTGGGTTCTTAGTTGCTGATCTTTGTTGCATCCTGCAACATCTCGTTGCAGCACGCGGACTCTCTAACGGGTGTGCGGGCTTCAGTAGTTGCAGCACACAGACTTAGTTGCTCTGTGGCATGTGGGATCTTAGTTCCTTGACCAGGGATCGAACCCACGTCCCCTGCACTGCAAGGCAGACTTTCAATCCCTGAACCACCACGAAGTCCCTGCATTCTTTCTTTTAATAAAAGTTTTTCTTACTTACTACATCTTAGTTCATGATCCATTTTGAGTTAATTTTTATATGAAGTATGAGATATAGGTTAAACAACTTTTTTTTTTTTTTTTGACCTGTATGTGTTCAGTTGCACCAGCACCATTTGTTGAAATGGCTGTCTTCCTTCCTTGAATTGCCTTTCATCTTTCTCAAAAATCAGTTGAGCATATTAGCATTGAGTCTGTTTCTGGGGTCCCTTTTCCATTGTTCTGAGTGTCTGTTGCTCTTTTAGTACCATAGTCTAAGTTACTGTTGCTATTGTAAGTCTTAAAATTGGACTGATTTATTACCCCTACTTTATTTTTAATTTTCAAAATTGTTTTGGGTATTTCGGTTCCTTTGCCTTTCTGTAAATTTTAGAATAGTTTGTCTAACGTGGAAAAAGTCCTGTTAGGAATTACATTGAGCTGTATACCAGTTTGGAGAAATTGACATCTTTACTGTGCCGAATCTTCCAGCTTCATTTATTTAGATCTCTGATTTCTTTCATCATTGTTGTGCACTTTTCAGCATTTAAATCCAGTATGTGTTTTACTAGATACACCGAAGTATTTGGTTCTTTCTTGTCAGTGATTGTCAGTGGTATTATATATTTAATTTTCTTATCCACGTGTTTGTTGCTAGTATCTAGAAATATAGGTTTTTGTTTTTGTTTTTTAATGTTTATCTTGTCTTCTGTGACCTTATTGAACTCAGTGGTTCTGGGAGATTTTTTTGGTAGATCTCTTGTGATTTTCTGTGTAGACAGTCTTCAAATAGGGACAATTTAATTTCTTCATTTCTAATATGTGTGCAGTTTATCTCCTTTTATTGCTATACTGATTGACTAGACCTCCTATTCAGTCTTTCACTATTAAGTATCATGTTAGCTGTAGGTTTTTAGCTGCTTATCAAGTTAAGAAAGTTTTGCTCTGTTTGTTTTCCTGAGATTTTTTTTATCATGAATGGCTGTTGAATTGTGAAATGTTTTTTCTGCTTTGAATCAGTATACTTAGGTAGTTTTTTTTTTTTTCCTTTAACTTGTTTAAGTAGTGCTTTTATATGATTGATATGATTATTTTCTTCATGGAACCAACTTTGTACCCCTGGGATAAACCCCACTTGATCAGTGTATAATTCTTTTTGTAGTATGTTATTCAGTTCTGTTTTCAAATGTTTTAAGCATTTTTGTATCTATATTTATGAGGGATATTGGTCTGCAGTGTTCCTTTTTTGGTGCCATTCTTTTCTGGTTTTGGTATCAGGGTAATACTTCATAGAATGAATAGGAAAGTGCTCAGTCCTCTTTTTTGAGGGTAATGGATTTGTAGAATGAGTGATAATTTGTCTTTAAAGATTCTTGAAACCAATGAAGCCATCTAGGCCTTGATACTTCTTTTTGGGGGAGGTTTTAAATTATGAATTTCATTATCCTGATAGCTTATAGGACTGTTCAGGTTATCTATTTCACATTGAGTGACTTATGGTAGTTTGTTTTTGAGGGATTGGTCTGTTTTGTTTAAGTTGTTAGTTGGTATGATTTACTTCTTACCTTTTGACATCTGTAGGGTCTGTAGTGATAACCCATTTCATTGTTGTGATGGTTATTTGTCTTTTCTCTCTCTTTTTTTCTTTGTCTTGCTAGGGTTTGTAAATTTTACTGACTTCCCTCCCTCTTTTTTTTTGGTTCCCCCAAAGAATCATCTTTTTTGTTGATCTTAAATTTTTCCTGTTTTTTGTTCTAAATTTCATTTCTTTCTGCTTTTAATTATTTTCTTCCTTATGCTTGATTTGGGTTTATTTTGCTATTCTTTTTTTTAATAGGTTCTTCAGATGTGTGCTTAGATTACTGATTCAACCCCTTAATTTCTTTTTTTCTATTATATATGTTTATGCTATGTATTTCCCTCTCAGGAATTTTAGTTGTCTCCTATAAATTTTTATTTTATATTTTCCTTTTTTTTCAGTTCAATATGTATTTTTATTTCACTTGAGATTTCTTATTGTAAGTATATATTCCCCTTGAAAAGAATGTATATTCTGCTCTTGTTGAATGGAGTCTTCTATAGATGTCAGTTAAATCCTGTTGATTGATACTCTTACTGAATTTTTAAAAAATATCCTGAGTTGATTTTCTGTCTTAGTTTCTATTCATTGTTGAGAGAGGGTCTTCAGCTATAATCATGGATTTATTGATTTAATATTTAAGTTTTGTGAGTTTTTGCTTCACATATTTTGCAGCTCTGTTAAGTTCATATGTGTTTAGGATTGTTATATTTTCATGGTAGATTGCTTTTTTATCATACAATGTCATTCTCTAGCTCTGGTAATTTTTTTGCTAATATTAATATAGCTGATTATATCTTTAAATTTTGCATGATATATCCTGTTCCATCCCTTTACTTTCAGTCTGCCTAAGTCATACTTTTTTAAATTTTAGTTTTTAAAAATTTTATTGGAGTATAGTTGACTTGCAATGTTATATTAATTTCAGGTTTACAGCAAAGTGATTCAGTTATACACACACACACACACACACACACACACACACATTCATTCTTTTTCAGATTCCTAAGTCGTATTTAAAGTATTGTTTAGGCAGCATGTATTCATGTCATGGTTTTTAAATTTACTCTGCTGCTACTGCTGCTAATTTGCTTCAGTCGTGTCCGACTCTGCGACCCCATGGACAGCAACCCACCAGGCTCCTCTGTCCACGGGATTCTCTAGGCAAGAATACTGGAGTGGGTTGCCGTTTCCTTCTCCTAATTTACTCTACCAATCTCTTTTAATTGATGCATTTGGACCACTTAAATTTAATTATTGATACATTAGGACTTACGTCTTCTATTTGTTCTGTATTTCTGTTTTTGTTTTTCCTGTTTTCCTGGGAGTCCATGACCATTTTTTAGACTTTCATCTTGATTTATCTAGTATTTTTTAGTATATTTTCTTTGTATAGCATTTTAATGGTAGCTCTAGATTTTATATTAGCTATATTATACTTCTCTTAGTCAACTGGTAGCATTTTTTGAAACTGAGTGACACTTAGAAATGTTACCTCTCTTTATATACTTTTACCTTTTCTCATTTATAATTTCTTAAATATTTCTTCTGCATACATTTAGAATCACATCATAAAGTGTAGTAATTTAGAAAACTTAAAAGAGGACAAGCAAGCTCTCTTGCATCTCCCTGTCTTGTGGCCTTCTTCTTTACTGTGTTTCAGGGTTCCGGTTTCTACCGTTTCTTTTCTATCTAGAGAGGCTCCTTAAGGTACTTTCAGAGTAGATCTGTCCATGGCAAATTCTCTGTATGGGCAAGGACTTCTTTGGGTTTATACTGATTGGGATTTGCTCAGTTTCTTGCAATTGTACATTTATGTTTTTTGCCACTTTTAGGATATTTTCATTCATTGTATCATTGAGTACCTTTTCAAACCTGCCTTCTGTTTTCTTCTTCCTGGAACCTGATGACACAAGTATTGGATAGTTTGTTACAGTACTACATATTCCTGAGACTCTTCATTTTGTCTCTCCTCTCTCTGTCATTCAGATTTATATAGGTTCGTTTTCCATTTGAATTCTTTATTTTCTCTATTCTGCTCTTGAGCCCGTTCACTGATCTTTTTATTTCAAGTGTATTTTTCAATTCTAAAACTTTCATTTGGTTCTTCCTTATGTCTTTCTTTACTGAGGTTTCTATTTTTTTCATTTGTTTCAAGCTAGTTCATAATTCTTGTTGAAACATTTTTACCCTGACTGCTTTAAAAGTACGTCAGATAATTTTAACTCCTCTGTCATCTCTGTTGTCATCTATTGGTTGTCTTCTCTTTTTAAACAGATAATCTGAAGTCTTTCTGATTCTTGGTGTTTTTCATCAGTGCCAAGTGGTACATAGTTGAAACCTGGACATTTTCTTTTTTTTTCTTTTTTTTTTTTTTTTTGGGTGTCCCAGGGAGCCAGAGCCCACGAGCCATTTATTGAAACCTGGACATTTTCATGTTGTGAAACTGTAGATCTTATTTAAACCTTCCTCCTGAAGTAGCTTTCTCTGATGACCACTCTGATAAAGGAAGGGAAGTCACTACTTCACTATTGCCAGGTAGAGGTGGAAATCCACGTATCCCACTCTGCCTCTGTAGACACCCCAGGGCCACTCCTTGTCACTGTTGGAAATAGGCAGCTGTTCAACTGCCCAAGTGGTTCCACTGAACCTGGTCAACAGAGGAGGCCAGTTCTTGGTACCATAGCATGGATCAAAGTCTAGGCTCTTCACGGCACTGGCCTGGGTGGAGATGGACCACGGTCTTCACTGTGGTTTTGACTGGAGTGATTACGGTCTTAAAGGTTTCTGTTTTCCTGTTGGTCTTTGTCCTTTGGCTAGAGAAAGTAGCCTTTTGTTGGGTTTTTTGGTCATACCCTTTGGCATTTCCAGCTTCTTCAGTTCCAACTCTTGAAAAAATGAGGCAAAAGAAACCCGAAAGAATTTACCACTGTGGTGTTCCTTGGGTCCCAGGGTCCCTAGCTGATTTGTTTTCTTATATTTGTTATTTAAATGACATTCAAGGTTTTTAGTTGTACTTAGTGGAAAGAATAGGAAAAAGTATATTTACTTAATGCCTCCAAAAGGAGAAAGCAGTTCCCCACCCCCCACACACACACTCTGTGGTTTGTGGGATCTTAGTTTCCTAGCAAGGGATCAAACCTGTGCCCCCTGAAGTGGAAGCATGGAGTCCTAACCACTGGGACCCCCGGTAATTCCCAGAAATTAGTTTAAATATTGACTTTTTAAGAGCTTGCTAGACAAAATAGTGTGTAAAATTTCAAAGATACGGAATCTGTGTCCGTTTTCATTTAGAAACTTTGCTAATTGTAATTGAACTATACACATTCATAAATAAGCCCTCTATCTGGCAAAATTGATTTGGAACGTAGTAAGGACTTGGCTTTTGTCCTTGTGGGAATACCGGCATACCTTGGAGAACTGTGGATTTAATTCTAGACTGCCGTTTTAAAGTAAATCTTGCAATAAAGTGAGTCATACTTTTTGGTTTTCTAGTTTGTATGAAAGTTACATTTACACTATGCTGTAGTCTGTTGAGTGTGTAATAACATGTCTAAAAAACAGTCCATATATCTTAATTTTAAAATACTTTATTGCTAAAATATGTTAGCTTTATCATATGAGTCTTCAGCAAGTCGTAGTTTTTTGCAGGAGTAACATCAGAGATCACTGGTCACAGATTCTTGTAACAAATATAACAACAGTGGAGAAGTTTGAAATAGAGGAGAATTATCAGAATGTGACAGAAACATGGAATGAGCTCACACTGTTGGGAAAGGGACTTAGTAGACTCACTTGATGCAGGGTTGCCCCAAACCTTCCAATTGTAAAAAATGCAGTATCTACACAGTGCAGTAAAGGGAAGCAGAATAAAACAAGGTCCACCTGTACAAAGAAGCAAACTGTGTCTCTTCTGTAACCTCTCAGTCTGGTTGGGCAAGAAGACCAAGGGTACAGAGTAAATCAGGGGAGTGCTCAGATGCACTACAGTCCATAAGAAGAAAGGGGACGATAAATGTCATCAGCAAACATGATCAGGTTATAAATTAAATCTGCTTTTTTCAGTTCTCTTAGGAGTAATTTATTATATAGACATTGTCCCATTTTAGTCAGTATTTTATTTGAAGCCTACTCTGTGCCAGGCTACTGCATTTAAGTATTGGTAAAATATGTATGGTATGTATGGTAAAGTATTGATCTAGCATTTGAATATTGGTAATATATATGGTAAAAAATATGTATGCTAAAGTATTGAACTAGCATATATAAGTATTGGTAAAATATGCTCCTTGCCTTTTAGAAACTCTCAGCTTTAGTTTGAAGCCAGGGGTGGGAAGCAGGTTTAAGAAAGCAGATCCTTACAGTTTTAACTGTAAGTTAAATGTAAGTGTGATGTCATCCAGTTTATATTAATAGTAATCTTGCTTACCTGGTAGACAGATCTTACAAGGGGAAGTAGCTAGAGTCCTAAATAGGGTCAAAGAAGGCCACAGAGAGATGGTGCCCTGTCAAGTTTGGAGGATAACTGAAGACATAAAAAGAAGCAGGGTGGAGAAGAGCATCCCATGCAGAGGAACCCAGGGGAAGGGGCTTGGCAGAGAGTGTGGGGCATTGGCTTTGTTTTGAGGCTCCAGTGTAATGGTAGCATGTATAACTATACATTCACCAATAACGCAAGTTGGTTATTTTTAAATGTTTAGATTTTTAACAACTTACTTGCTGTGATCCAAGTCAGTGGTTTTTTTTTTTTTATTGTGTTAAGATTACAAATGGTAGTTGTATAGTCACTAAGTATGTCCAACTCTTTTGTGACCCCAAACACTGTAGCCCGCCAGGCTCCTCTGTCCATGGGATTTCCCAGGAAAGAATGCTGAAATGAATTGCCATTTCTTTCCTCCAGGGGATCTTCCCGGCTCAGGGGTTGAAGCTGCGTCTCCTGCATTGGCAGGCAGGTTCTTCACCACTGAGCCCCCTGGGAAGCTCCAAGATAACAGTATTTAGAGCTTTATTTTTTTTTTAGTGTATTTATGAATATGCTAGGATTGTTGGTAGCTGTTATATTCAGTGGGTAGTAAATAGATGGCAGATTCTTCCCTGAGACACTGTATCTGTATGTACCTTGATTCAAAAATAATTCCAGTGTACACTTGCATGTATTTGACATAGAACGTTAAGAGACTCCTGGAGTTTTGTCCAACCAGAAAGAGTTTACCTTGCAAAGTCTTTATTAAGCTCCACAAAAGAGATATCATCATTTTCCTTGGGAGTCAGTTTCATCTGAAGGTAGTTTTTCCATCTATAACTCTCTGCTGATCAGCAGGGAGACATGGTGTTTTATATGGCAGTGTCTGTAGACATGGTCCTTCAACATAACTAGAGTTTCCTTTTCAGATTTTTGCAAAGTATAGTAACTCATCTGGAAAGTGTAACGTTAAATTAAAATATTGTGTGTGTTGAGCCAGACGAAGCTTGTGTTTGGTGCTCTGTGCTTGGAACATTTTTTTAAAAATAATTGTTTGGATTATATGGTCCAAGAATATATGGTCCAAGAATTAATCTATTTTTATTTCTTATTGCAGATGGAGTCTGGTGGTACAGTTTTGAGTACCAACTGGTCTGATGTAGGTAAAAGGAAAGTTGAAATCAATCCTCCTGATGATATGGAATGGAAAAAGTACTAAATAAATTAATTTGTTATCACTGTATTGTGTATATTCACGTAACGCCCATTGTGTATTAATATTGCATTCTTGAATTTTGAACACTAAGTACATCTTTTCAAAGATTATACCTCTTTACCTCTTTGTGCTTTAGAAATTATTTTCCTTTAAGTGTTCTAAAAGTCTAATGAAGAATGAAGATCATATTTTATCACTTTTGTCCTTAAGGATTTCAGATATGCTGAAATGGAATGAAGTATCATTTGCTACTAGACAGATTATTTCTACCTAGTAGTGGGAGTGGAGAAACCATTAATGGTTATATCTTGGGTTATTGCCTTATTTTTGATGCAGTATTCTATTAATAATTTATTAGATGTGGTAACTTTGGGTGAGCATAAATTTCTCAATTTCAGTGTTACATCGTTTGCTTTTAAAAACTGCTTTTGAATGGAGTTGTAAATAGAATTTTTCTATGAAAAAGTTTGATTTATTTACCTTTTTCTTAAGTTTTTAATGAAAACTTTGAGAAATTATTTATCACAAGGAAATTCCCATTTGATTATTTTTATGAGAAATATTTGTAATTGCACTGAGAATTTTGGTCCTTACCTTTCAAATTCCTGTGTAAAACATTGACACCTGAGTTTTCTATTCTGTAAATTAACTATATTGAAGTCTAATCTGTAAAGCTGGGTCACACAGTAATTTAGAAGAGCCCAACTCCACTTCTTGCTGCTTTTGCCACAGCAGGATTCCTGACATTACAGCACTGGTGGCTTGATTTGATTTTTGTGTTTTTTTCTTTATTAGAAAATCTCTCTTCTCACAGCCCCATGATTACTTTTGGTGGTTTAGGGCAGCTGTTGAGAGAGTAAATTAATATGTATATATTTAGTATGTATTCTGTTTCTAGAATAAATAGATACCATGGGAATACAAAAACCAAAAGACATGATCATTAACTTCAAAGACTTTGTAATCTAGCAGAGAGAGAAAATTAACATTCATGAAGGAATTGTGGAATGGTTGAATGGTGAACTTATTATAAATAGAGGTTTGAGATAGAAAAAGTTTTCTTTGATTAAAATTCTTGACAGTCTGAGCTGTTGCAAAGCAGAGGCCATGGATGACCTGTAGGCCTGATCAGTTTTCGTGTTCTAGTTTCAGAACCAGAGTGCCCTCGAGGTAGGTGTCTGTTAGGTCTCACTGATGTTTTGTGGCAAAGCAGTACTATGTGCCCTCACAGCAGAGGATGGGGTACATGGGAGGCAGATTAGCCATCATGTCCAAAGAGAGTGGGGACTCAGCCTTTTGATTTGAATCATTGGACGTGATGTGTAGGAGAGTTCTTGAAGAGAGAGTTGGGGTGATACCTGACTGTGCTGCGTCCTGCTGCCCCTGCTTGTTTATGCCTGCCTCAGTTTTCACTTGTCCTGCCCCCTTTGAGTTCGGGGCTACTTTTTTTTGCTCTTGAACACTGAAAGAAAAGGCAACATGAAGTTCTTGCATGTATGAATTTCTAAGATTTTCTGCTTGGGAAACAAGGCAGTGATCATGCTTTCTCAGTACCATTAGTTCTCAAGGGACTCTTGTTACAGTTAGTAAATCAAAGGCCTGCAGCAGTACCCCAGAGACAAGACTCCTGGCTCCAGCAAGTCCCTACCACCCATTAGCTTTAAAATCCTTAACAGGCTTACAGCCTTCCTATGTCTTAGGTCCTTTGTCTGTAAATAATCTATAGGGTCTTAATTAAAAGTCCATGATTCTAAATGAGGAAGCATTTTTGCCTCTTGGAAGCAGCTTCTTTTTTAGGAATGACACTGTTATAACAGAAGTCCAGGTTTTGAAAAGGTTCTAGTACTATTAATAGTTGTGCTTGCATTTTAAAGGATGTGTTATCTAAAGTTTGTTTATCTGTTGCCTAACGATGTGGGATTCAGGATTTTGCTGAGCCACATGGCGTTCCTAATATACATGACTATGTTACACAATGCCTAGTCTAAATACAGTAGGTTTATGGGTGAAGAAGGGAATTTTAAGAAGTGGTTTGGATGGCTTGCCACACAGTACCGCTTCTCTTTTACCATTTTGTGCAATGAAAATTTATGACTCCAGTAAGTTAAAAAACTTCATTTGAGCCTCCTAACTTATTGTCTAGTGTCTCAACTTGGGTATTACTTGGTTCCACTTTCTTTGTAGACTCCGGTTTTCTTCCTCCCTGCCTGCCCCCTCCCCTCCTTCCTGGGTCATGGCTGTACAACCTGGACTCCTAACCACCAAACCACCAGGAAACTCCGGCACTCCCATTTTCAGTTCTCAGATCTTCATCCTGCTCTAGTTATCCTTTTGTTTCTTCAGAACATAACGTTTTTTTCCTCTTAGCATTTGTTCTCTTTTTGGAGGTTTAGTCTTGGAGTACTTTTTTCCCTTAGATTCTCTCTCTTCTGTGTGTGTGTGTGTGTTGCTTCAGTCGTGTCCAACTCTTTGCGACCCTGTGGGCTGAATCCCACCAGTCTCCTCTGTCCATGGGACTCTCCAGGGTGCCAGTCCCTTCTCCAAGGGATCTTCCCGACCCAGGGATTGAGCCCACATCTCTTACGTGGCAGGCAGGTTCCTTACTGCTAGCACCACCTGGGAAGCCCCTCTCTTTTCCCAATTTCTGCAATTATTTGCACTTTGATGACTTCCCAGAATTTTACTGTTTTCGAAGGATCTTGAATGGGATAAGCTGCTGCTTTAAATTTTGCTATAAAGGAATCTCTTTAGGTGGCTGTACTAACAGGTTTGAAACATCAGAGTCAGTTTTGGTAATTTGCTGTCATGTGTCCTAACCATTCGGAGTTACTAACTAGCAAGTTCAGTCTTTAACAAAGGCAGTTAGTGACTGCTTTAATAACCTGGTTTCTATATCTTTATTTGGAGTGAAGAAAAAGATTGGTTTGTACTAATAACTATTATAGTTTCACCTGACCCCAGCATTTTCATTCCTTTGATTTGCATTGTTCACTAACTGCAAAGCATCGATTCATCATTACTGTTGTCTTCCTGAGTCTGGAAAAACTTGTATGTTCTTAGCAGGTTAACTATATAGGATAAGGAAGAAAATAATTGACCTGTCCTAAATAAATTGTTCAGATAAGTTTCAAGTGAACATTTAAAATGAAGCTATGTCACTATGCTATTATGAATAGTTTAGATAGATATTTTAATTCAATACTGAAATACTTTTTGGCTCTCCTTTCCTATTTTACCTTTCTCTCCTTCCCAGTTTTCTACACGTCAGATTAGGTCATTGATCTGAGAGAGACATCACTGACCCAGAGCAGTGTTGCCTATGAAACGACCTTCTGGTCTGCCCAGTGAACTTTCATTGTACGGAGACCTTCGCTGTCCAAATTAGAGTGCGTGTTTCTGACTTACATTTCCAAAACAGGTGAATGTTTCTGGGTGTTCTGTGTGTGTTTCTGTTACTTGAGCTACTTTTTTTGTACCAGCTCGGTATAAAAAGTTTACCTTTACACTCTTGCCTGCTATTTTAGCCCCATGAGAGTATGGATATCTTGATGACCACATCCTCCATCCAAAAAAAATTATATATATATATCTCTCCCCATTATCTCTGCATTGGAGGAACCAAGGGGGAGGAAATACAAAAGCTAAAAGGACAAAATAGTGATTTCTGTGCCAGGAGGGTCCTACGCAGTCTTTATCTTCGCTGCACCATGCGCATGAGGAATCTTAAGTTCCCCGAAACCAGGGATCAAACCAGTTCCCCCTGAAATGGAAGTATTGTGTCTTCACCACTGGAATAGCAGGGAAGACCCCATGTGTAGTTCTAAATAAGAGGGGTTTGTCAGCATTGATCCGTTTTCTTTTGACTCCAACAGTGCATATTTGCTTGTAAAATCGTCTTACACATACCAAAAGATTTTACTTTGGCAACATTTGGGAACTTGTGGGTAAATTGGAAATAGTGATTTACTCAAAAGGGTAACTGTTGGGGACTACAATTAGATTTGCTTCTGAAATGAATTTAACTCTTAGCCTTTCTTCCTCCCTCAGTAAACTTATCCCCCCAAGTCAGCTAAAATCGTACACATTGCTAACCCGTGAGGACAGTAGCAGTGGTAGCTGTTTGGTACTAGGGCTTTTCATGGGCCAGGTGTGTTCTGTCTATACGACCTTGTTTGTAACAGTCTTGTGAAGTAGTGATGCCATCCTATCAGATCAGAGAAACCAGGCCCAAGTTAAGTTCTTTGCCTAGTTCACACCACTGATAAGCGGTGGAGCTGAAATTTGAACTGAGCAAGGCCCATCAGACTTCATTCAGTTCCCATGCTTTTTACAACTGAATGAATTGGATGACTGAGTGATTTTTATTAATGCATCAAATGTCTGACAGTGAAGCAGAGAATGTGCAAGTTGAAGTTTTAAATTCTTATACATGGGCTGGGAAGTATATTTCTTAAAGATCAGAATATTATCATCAGTTTCTTAAGTCCTGTTACTAGGAGTCTAGATCTCTTGCCCTTTGTAGAGGTAATTACAAGCAAGTGGTCCTCACTTGTGTGGAAGATTTTGATTTTCTCAAATGCAGATAATTACAGAGAAACAAGATATGCTTACAACTGTATGGTTGAAAGACTAGCACATTATTCCTGACATATTCTTGTTCATTAAACTTGGGAGCTCACACTAGTTTTCCTTGTTCAAATGCTAAAATTGCTTTAAGGTTTTTCTCCTACCTAGTTAGATGTATTAGGATCAGTGAATGCCTGGTTTTTTCAGTAAAATTGGAATGATTCAGATTTAGTCCATTTGTTCCAATCATGTTAGCATTTTATGTATGTTCTGAATTTTGGCTTGTCTGGAATCTTCCAAATGTTACCTTTGATGTGCTTTGATTTTTTTTAACTCTTACATATGCACTGAGACTTCTCATACACATCTCACTGACTTTATTTTCTCTTACAAGGTTCAGTTATAAAAAAGATGTTTCAAAAACAGTATTGTTGGCCCCAAAATGATTTTTTTAAATTAAGTTTAGTAAGTATA